AGAGAACTGCCGGAAGTCCAGGCTGGGTTTAGAAGGGGTCGTGGTAATAGGGATATCGTTGCTGATGTTAGATGGATCTTGTCTGAAAGCAGAGAATACCAAAAGAATGTCTAGCTGTGTTTCATTGATTATGCAAAGGCATTTGACTGTGTGGATCATAACAAACTGGCTGACTCTGAGAAGAAGGGGAATACCAGAACACTTGATTGTGTTAATGGGAAACCTGTACTGGGACCAAGAGGCAGTTGTCAGAACAGAGCAAGGAAACACTGCATGGCTCAAAATTGAGAAGGGCATATGCCAGGGATGTGTCCTGTCTCCATACCTTTTCAGCCTGTATGCAGAACAGATTATCTGGGAGGCTGGGCTCTATGAGGAGAAATGTGGGGTCAAGATTGGTGAAGATCTATCAACAATCTGCGATATGCAGATGATACAACCCTGCTTGATGAAACTGAGGGTCAAGGACTGCAGCCTCCAATATGGATTGAGGCTCAACGTCAAGAAGACAAAGATTCTCATCACTGGACCAACTGGCAGCATCAGGATGGATGGTGAAGAGATTGAGATTGTTCACAGCTTCAGTTTGTTTGGCTCCACAGTCAACACTCTCGGCACCCGTAGCCAGGAAATTAGAAGACGTATTGCCACAGGAAAGTCTGCTGTTAGGGACCTCTCCAAAGTACTGAAGAGCATGGTGTCTCTTTGGAGACTAAGATGCATCTGATACAGGCCATGGTCTTTGCTATCACTTGTTATGCATCAGCGATTTGGACAATGACTAAGGAGGATAGGAGAATTGTTGCCTTTGAGCTGTGGTGCAGGAGAAGAGTATTGAGGGAACCATGGGCTGCTAGGAAAACAAACAGATTCGTCCTGGAAAGGGTCAAACCGGGCTGCTCCTTGGAAGCAAGGATTCTAAGGCTCTGTCTAGGATACTCTGGACATGTTGTGAGGAGAGACCGGTCCTTGGAGAAGGACATCATGCTTGATAGGGTGGAGGGACAGCACAGAAGGGAAGACCCCCTATGATTTGGATTGATTCAGTGACTGGGGTAATCGGGATGGGTGTATCAGAGATGGTGCACAGGACAGAGCTGAGTTTAGGGATGTTGTACATAGGGTCGCTATGAGTCGCAAGTGACTCGACGGCACATAACAACAACAACAACTCATTTCACTTACCAGTTTATTTTTCATACTGGTGTTCAGGATGGAGGCAAATCAGAAGCTGGCTATCTAAAAGAGGAAATGTTAGTCATTAAATATCTGGCTTATAAGTTTTCACAAAATTGTTGGTCTTAAAATTTAAGAGAGGGAAAAAACTTCCACAATTGAAATGAATGAAGCTGTTATTCTCTTATAATTTACCCTACCTCCTAGACTGACACTTTCCCTCTGGGCTGGCTAGCTTCCTGTGCTATCTCTAGAGATAGTGTGAAATCAAACAGAGAGATAGGAAGACATATTAGTTCAATCATATCTTTGGGGCAAGTTACATGTGAAACACAATGTAAATGCATGAAACATAATGTATATAAATGAGAAAAATAGTAATTAATTTTTTTCAAATTACATTTCTAATAACAAGTTTTTAAAAGGGGATGAGAAACACTTCCTCCAGTTAAAAATCTTGAGCGAAGGGCCTGCGAAAGCTATCAAGACTCAAGGCTAAAACCACTGTCATTTGCATTTGCATCTCCAGCGCTGGCATTGCTGCAGCAAGACACCAAGTGCTATGAATATACAATTGAAGTTCAATAGTTTCTAGGATAAAATGTCAGGGAAAAAAAGAGTTAAAGTTGCAAAGGCTTCAAAATTTCTTTAGGTCTTTAAAAATAACAAACCCCCAAAACCAACCTGCATTCACAATGCAACTTTGTAAAATAATACCACCAATCATATAGGTTAACAAAGCAGTTACAGATCAAGAAATCCTAGCAAAATAATTTCTTGACCTAGCTCGTCTAGGTAGTTAGCGCCTAACGTTTCCACTAAAAGCTTATGCTGCTACCCATGCCTGCAAATACGTAAAGGACTAATCAACATGAGGAGCTTGACGGCACCGTGGGGTCAGAAAACTGGACTGACCCAGTGCCAGCGGACAGCACATTTTCCGACCCTACCGCCGAGCCCGAGAGGCCAGCTGTCCTCTCTCTGGTCTGCCCGGAACCTCACCTCGGTTCTCCTCTTCTAGATAGCGTACCCGCAGCTCGTCCTCCACCCTAGACTCCGAGCTGTAGCCTCGCCTGTGGACGGCCTGGCCCGGGACCCGCAAGGGATGGCGGACCCGCAAGCTGGCTACGCCCGGCAGCCCCGGCCCCAGGCCGAGCCGCACACACCAGGGGCCGAGCCGCAGCGCCCAGGCCGCCTGGAGGAGCCCCGTAACTGCTGCCGCGGCCGCAGGAACCATGTTGTAGCCTGGTGCCACCCTATCCGCAACAACGCAGCCTCTCCAGACGCGCGTATGCCGCCCTTACGCAGCGACACACGCAGGTCCCGCCCCCGCCCCGTGTCGCACGCTGTGGCCCCACCCCTGAGTTTGCATTCTTCCTCTAAATATAATATATGTCATCATTACAATATCCAATATTCATTTTCACAATGTATCTTGACCTAACAACATAGAAGAATTGTCAAGTACATCCAAATAAACATAAAATTTAGCACATTTCATCATAAGTCATTCAGTCTTTCTTGACTTCACTTTTCTGGTATCTGACATTTTGCTGGAGAAAGTTATTCTTTTGCCCTGAGTCTCTTTTGAGGTATTAGCATATTGTTATGTTTCCTTTCCTGCATGACTCACTTATTTATTCCTTTACCTTTCATTCTTCCAATTTTTCATTTATGTTTACCCAACTTTTCCATCTTGGGAAGGGGCATCAGATTTAGCGACCAGTCTGGTCACTTCACCTTCAGCCCAATCCCTATCATATTTTTGGGGTTATATTGGGGAACGGTGATAAATACGGATTTCTTACAGTACAACACTAATGAGCTATTTCAACCACTAGGTAGGACAGTAATATTCACCTTTAACCCTATTTTTGCAGATGGAGTGAAGGTACTATCTATCCCATAAGACCCTTGGAAATTGTTGCATGAAAGTTCAAGGATATTTAATTAATATCCTTATTAATATTAATAGATTAATGTGTAATATTAATAGATTACAATTGTTTCATCAGGAATCACTCTTGTTCCTGGTAACTGTAGCTGCATCCCTGGACCTGGGACTTAGGCATCTGGCAAGAAGAAAACCATTTCAAGAGATATTGGAAAGAATTGTGCAATAGCACCATCATCTTCCCCCTCTCACTTATCTCCAGAGATCCCTGAGAAATAGAAATCTGTTAAATGCTGAACCTCATTTAGCCTCTTTCATGTTGAGTGTAAGCACATACTTTTAAAAAAAAAATATTTTTTTTATTTTAATGAACATTTACTGAGATTTTGGATTTCCATTCATTCATTGTTGCACTTTTCTCCCTGTTCACCCCTCCCCCCCAGTTCACTCCTCTCCTTGAAAAGTAAAAGAAAAATTCCTTCAATGGTATACAATCCCCCCAACCCCACCCCCACCCCGATACATACTTTTGAAAGCCTGTGAGCCAGTTCTTCATACCTTTATTCCTCCCTGTTTTAGATAACAAATATTTCAATTGCCCGTTCCAATTCTCTATCAGATCATTACTCTTGTGGTGGTATGTAACATGGTATATCCATTTAACATGAAGCCTCTTGGCCCATTGCTGCACTCTATAAATCCGAAAGTATGTTCCTTGGTCTGAGTAAATATAACTTGGTGGCACAAAGTGGTACAATATATTTTGCTCCAGTTCTTTAATAGTTCTTTAATTTTTGGAATTTGCGACAGTTAAAGGTTATGTGAAATCCAGTCAAGAGTAACTATCTATATTCCTGTAAGGATCCATTTGTAGTCACTGGGACCAATGATCTGCTATACTCAACTTGCCAACTATGTACAGGACCTACCTTCCTGGGAATTTGTTTCCTAGCCATCTGCAACCTCTGTCTCACTTGCTAACAAGTGGAGTAATATTTATTCGAGGTACTTTATGTCTCAAAGGGAAAAAGAGAAATATGTTTATTTCACCTTATCTCTGCATTTTAGAAATGCATCAGATGTCCATTCGTTTTATGGACCCAATTGGCCTCCTTCATGGAGTGTGCCAACATATCCATCACTCTAAACTTGGTAGCAGATGATTTTCCAGTACATTCACGTTTAACTCTAATGTTGTTGTTGTTGTTGTTATGTGCCATTGAATCACTTGGGACTCATACCGACCTTATATACAAAAGCCCTAAACGTTGCTCTATCCTGTGCCAATCATACTTCCTCCGACACCATTGCTCTTCAGTACTTTGGAGAGGCAAACTAACAGCAAACTTCCCGATTCCAATACATCTTTTAATTTCCTGGCTGCTGGTGCCAAAAGTGTTGACTGTGCAGCAAATCAGACTGAAATTGTTAACAATCTTAATCTCTTCACCATCCATCCTGATGCTGCCAATTGGTCCAGTGATGAGAATCTTTGTCTTCTTGATATTGAGCATCAATCCATCTTGAAGGCTGCAGTCCTTGACCCTTTACAGCAAGTGTTACAGTTCCTCCTCAGTTTCAACAAATAGGGTTGTGTCATCTGCATAACGCAGATGGTTGATAGATCTTCCGCCAATCTTGAGCCCACATCTCTCCTCATAGAGCCCAGTCTTCCGGATAATCTGTTCTGCATACAGGTTGAAAAGGTATGGAGATAGGACAAACCCCTGTCATACACCCTTCCCAATTTTGAACCAGGCAGTGTTTCCTTGCTCTGTCTGACGACTGTCTCTTGGTCCAGGTATAGGTTTCGCATTAGAACAATCAAGTGTTCTGGGATTTCCATTCTCCTCAGAATCGGCCACAGTTTGTTATGATCCACACAGTCAAACGCCTTTGCATAATCAATGAAACACAGATAGACATTCCTTGGTATTCCCTGCTTTCAGCTAAGATCCATCTAACATTAGCTACAATATCCCTAGTACCACGACCCCTTCTATACCCAGCCTGGACTTCTGGCAGTTCTCTGCTAATGTGCTGTTCCAGTCGTTTTTGGATAATCTTCAGTAGAATCTTGCTTGCATGTGAAATCAATGATATTGTTTTATAGTTTCCACCTCTGTTTGGGTCACCCTTCTTTGGAATGGGAACAAATACAGATCTCCTCCAGTCAGTTGGCCAAGCGGTTTTTCTCCAGATTTCTTGGCACAACCTGTTAAGGACGTCCAGGGCAGCATCTGTTAGCTGAAATACATCAATTGGTATACCATCCATTCCTGGGGCCTTGTTTTTTGCTATTTCCTTCAAAGCAGCTTGAACTTCTTCCTTCTTCACCATATGCTCTTGCTCATGTTATTTCATTAAATTCTTCTTTGTTTGTCAATTCCTTTCGATACAGTGACTCAGTATATTCTTTCCATGTTCTCCTAATACTTCCTGGATCATTTAATATTCTGCCTAGAGCATCCTTGATTATAGCAACTTGAGGTTTGAATTTATTCTTCAGTTCCTTGAGCTTAAGAAATGCTGAACAAATTCAACCCTAAAATCTTGAGATAATTCTACATAAACTATTTTAGAAAATAGAAATAGATGGAATTATCCCAGATTCATTCTATGAAGCAAACATATTCTTGATACCAAAGCCAGGAAAGGACACCCCCAAAATAGAAAACCATAGGATAACGTCTCTTATGAGCATAGACGCAAAAATCCTGAATAAAATACTCGCAAATAGAATTCAATGATACATCAAAGAAATAATTCACCATGACCAAGTGGGAGTTATAAGAGATATGCAAGGATGTTGTTGTTGTTGTTGTTGTTGTTGTTATGTGCCGTCGAGTAGCTTGCGACTCATAGCGACCCTATGTACAACAGCCCTAAACTCTGCTCTGTCCTGTGCCAATCGCACTGTCTCCAACA